CGAGATTCGACTCAACTCACATATGGTTTATCATGTTTAAACTTCTCGAAACAGATCCTCTCTTTACAATCAAACTTAATTCATTACGCAAATGAATCCATTTTTAAAATTATAGCAACATTTGATTAGTCTTATAGTGCACTTTAACCAATGTACCATAACGATCAGATGCATTTATGCTTGGATTGAAGTAAAAAAAATTAAGTTCCCGCAAATGATTGTTTTTTCAATGCAGTAAAAATGTGTCTTGTTTGGCTAAATCAGAGCGTAAAATAAGGATTTGCCTTAATTACCGAAACATTTCTGTTGACTATCGATTTTTTAAGCATGCCAACCGACCTCACTCGCTTCGCTCGTGAAGTACTTACTGTTGGGTACGAACGTACCTTCGTTCGTAGAAATTTTAAAAATAAGTTATATTCGTTCGTTCATACTCGCGTTCGTTCGTTGTTCGTAGTATTTATAATAGATAAAAGTGAAATATTCGTTAAAAAATTCTACGAACAACGAACGAACGCGACTACGTACGAACGAACGAACAAAAAAATGTTCATAGATGTTCGCAAACATCACTATGCTTACTATTCATTTAATAAAAATTAAATGAATGAACACATACTATTGGTAGTAGTAGTTAAAAATGTCGTATTTTTCGCTGAAAATGTGCATTTATTTCAATAACAAAATGAATGAATACATTATTCAAAGTACTGTCCATCGCTAGCCAATACTTTTTCCCATTTCACAGGCAATTTTCGGATTCCATGTTTAAAGGACTGTTAGTTTTTTTCAGGTATCTAATGACCAGTGATGGGCAAAGATACTTTATCTGAGGTTTTTAAGATATTTTTGAAAATTATCTGACTTTTTCCAGATACTGCAAGATAAGATAAAGATAACGAGATATTTTATCTTATCTAGATAGAATTTTAAAACTTTTAAAATATCTTATCTGTTATCTAAACTGTAGATAGTATCTTTAAACATCACTGCTAATGACCGAGTCATTTTTCGACTTTTATAAAGTTTGCACATAATTGATCAGAAACGGTGCACTGCATCCATTGAAATTAGTGGTATTCAGATTTCTCTTTAAGATAGAATAGCTGTCATTGTCAAAAACTAGTAAACATGACAATTAAGAGGTTAGTAACAAATGCGACATTTTTAACTACTACTACCAATAAATGAACATACTAAATCTGATTGCTCAATTCTTTGCTTCGACATTTTTCTATTTTATTTTGTATACGTTTTGAAAGGAATTAAGTCCACAGCACCGACTGGCTTCACTTTGCTTACATGTTTATATGTCAAATGGAAAATCTTGTGAAATATTTACGGATGCCGAATTTTAAATTTATTTTGTCGTTAAATATTATTTTGGTTGTTGTTTTTTAATTTTATTTGAAATTCTTGAATACCGAAATCCAAATTCTTTAGTACCGAAATTAAATCTTAACTACCGGTTTTCTGCGAAAAAATGGCTTATTTTACGCTCTGATTTGGACGGTAATTTCTTTCTCCTAGTTGTATGGTCCGAAGTTTCACATTAAGTCATATGGCCCATGAACTAGCAGTGTATTTAACTTTGTTAATGCAATTTTGTTTGAAAAAAATCAATTGCTTTAACCGATTTGCCTAAGCAATTTGCCATAGCTGTTAAAATAATGAAGCAACAGTCGACACAGTAATGGTTAATTATGAAATTTGTGGGAATTTTTTGAAAATATATAAAAAAAAAACAGTTAATAGCCAATACATGACTAACAACACATTTTACCGTAGTAAGTTAGTCTCGCATTATCACGTCTTCTGCATTTTACATGGCAAGTTTGTAAAGAAAAAATTGAAGCTCGTGTACCGAATATTGTATCTTTAAAATGAATACAGATATACGAACAGAAAGCAAAAATCACTTTTGTGTTTTCAAAACGTGTTTACTAATAGTGTTTCATAGCATATTAGTCGTTATTGCGGAAAATGCTGACTTGTTGGATTAGATTTAATTCAACTTCGATCGCGGAAGTATTAATAATTGAATCTTCAACATCTTTCATTTTAAAGCGTTCAACATTGTATGTATACTGTTACAGTATTACTGTATACATACATATAAAATATTTCCATCACTTATTTCCAAATTCAAACCTTTTAACGGCTAAATAAATTTGGTCTATATATATAGGAGAGGACGGGGCGAATCGCCGCCGCAGTTGAATTATCATGAGAATGAGATCCAGAATATCCAACCGTCATATGAAAGCATCGGAATAAAAGACAAACGTATGAGATCTTTGCTCAAAATACAAACGGAGGAAATCTTAGCGTAAAAACCAAATATCTTTGAAGTCGGAATAAAAGTTAAATTAACTCGACTTATTTTATTTTCACTCGCAATTTGTATACATTTGATTTTTACGCTGAACATTTTTATATTAGGTTTTCATGCGTATTTTTCAAATGTTCGCTCATCCTTGTATGTATTATTGTGTTTACAAACAACATTCTGTTCACATGCAGTTCTCACTTTTATTTTGCTGCGCAATAAAAATCATCGACACAAAACTCAAAGCGATGGCCATTGACAACAATTTTTACTGCGCAGCAAGATTTTAGTGCGAGTTGTGTGTGAATAGAATATCGCTTGTAAACATAATTCCATATATAGAACAAATACCTGCAAGGATGAGCGAGCAGCATGAGATAACAACTTGCCAAGCACGATTTTGGTGACAGAGATAGCTAATTTTTACGTTTCGCAGTTATATGCAGTTATGCACATTTATTTGCGCGTATTACAGATGATTTTGCAACATAGTTCACTATTTACAGTATAAATCGTATACATTTGAAGATATAAGCCCCTAGATTTTACTTTTATTCCGACTTCAAAGATATTTGGTTTTTACGCTAAGATTTTCTCAGTTTGTATTTTGAGTAAAATATATTTGTATTCGGGTTTCGCTCAAAGATCTCATACGTTTGTCTTTTATTCCGATGCTTTCATATATCATTAGAAGTGTCTTTATGTCCTCCATAATTGGAGGTAATGATATTGGACTTTCATTACGTCAATAACTTTTGACGAGCATAAACGTGTTTTTCGATTTTTCATATTTTTTTCGCCTTTCTAGAATTTTGACTTTTCTGCATTAATTTTTATTTTTCTGAAAAAAGAGTAAGTGTTATTTGTAGCTTAAGTCAAGTGTTTTCTAGCGGGTATAAACATTTTCGGATTGTTTTTGGTTTTTTGTGTGATATCGGGTTTGGCGTGAAATTTCGTCTTCACTTCAGTACGGGGCGATTCGACGCACTCATATTGCGTTTTTACCAGTAAAATGTACAAACTATCAGATCTTTTTTCTAATTTCACCTATAAAGATCGATTGGATGTGCAGAAACAATGAGTTTCTAAAAATATGGGGTTCCCAATCGGGGTATCGAGGACAGGAGAGCACCTCACTTTGTAATACTTCGTCGAATCAAAAAAATGATTTGCTACAAAGTTGTTCAGAATGATGAAAGAATCTTTTTGATCAGCTGCCATTCAACTCCCCTACCCTCAGGGGACATAGCCGAGCACAGAGAATATGTCCGCCATTTTCTAAACAGCCCACCCTATCAGATCGCATGTATTTGTTGTTGGGATGTACTCTGTCCCGTATACAATACACTTTGTTTATCGGAGAGACTGCTTTCCATTGATTACTATAGTAGTACGATGACGCTCTAGTAGGATGCACTACGTGTACAAAATTGTTGTTGTAACAATGTTAAAACAATGACATTCTACGTGCTCGGTCATAACCCTTCAATCCATAATTGTTTTTAAAGGAAACGCAAAACCTGGGATTCTCAGTCTCTAAATACTTCAAAAATGCTTTTCATCTCTCTATTATTGAGTGCCCTCAATGTTTTTCACGGTTTCTTATTAATAATAATCAAGTAAAGATAGAGAAATATATTTAAAATAGAAATGATTATGTTTTATTACTCATATGCGTACATGGGCACAGGGGGGTGTAAGCCCGGATAACCCCCCCTCTTAAATCGTCCGAGCCAATGTCGGAATATGATGGCGTTTTATTTTCAACCAAAAGTATGTTTTAGCGTAGATGGCGCTAATTTAAATGGACATTTGTATGTATAGACGGTGGCGCCGCCCTACTCAATTAAACACTGAACTGCAGCGTTTCCAATCGTTGGTCCGAGCTATAAAATTTACGTACCAAAAAATGGTAGTAATCGTCCAGGTCTATTGAATGGTGACAGTTTTTTAGCAACCTTACATTTGTTAACGGGCTGTTAGTAATGGCATTCCATTGACGGAAAAGAATTTATAATTGTTATTCAAAATATTATTGTATGCATTCATTGCGGTATGGCAGTTCTTAACTCTGGGGTAGTTGATCCAGGGCCGAGGAAATTCTCGAAATGGCACTGTTGTATAGCATAAAGTAATATATTCATAATAGATAGAAATATCAATAAGTAGTGCGGCTTTGTGGGCACAGTGGCTACTACGACTACTGCGGCACTATTCGATCAACTGAGTTAAGCTGCACACGCTTTGGTCAGGAGATGAATGGGTGACCGTTTAGAACATCGTATGTAGTCGTAAAATACTGTGTCAACCGTGTCTGTGTACAACAAAGGTATGGATTTCAGCACAGACACGTAAAATAGAAATCCAACGCCATATAGAATATGGCAAAATCATAAAAAATGTAGGATACAATCGGCTGATCACCGATTTATCTGAATTAATTGATCAACAGAAACCAGAAAGATAAGAATTCTTATCTCAAGGCCCTATGCTCCACTAGGAGTTAAAGGAAATAAAAAAAAAAAGTGCGGCTATAGCTGCTATATGCGTACACTATTTATTGATACTTCTATCTATATCTAGATATCTGGATATATTGGCATAAAGTAACATTTTTTCAAAAATATTTTTATTATTCATAATATTTGTTTCTTTTTTTACTTTATCTCAGGTTTTTTTCTTGTATAGTATTTCATTAATTCACGCAACAGAAGAATCGAAAAATGTTCCAAAAACTGAGAAGATTACCATAAGTGATGCTCGTGATAAACGACAACTAAGCAATTTTATTGATAATTCGAACCGATCAATTCAAAGACGAATTACTACAAACTACTCGCCATATCCGAGCTATGCTTATAATGGTGGCGGTGGAGTCTACGATAAAGATTTTTCTACTGCTTCATCAGCATACCCCAAAATACAAAACTATGGACCAACTTATTCAAAACAGCCCAGCCAGTATGTGCGTGGTTATGTAGAGGCACCTGAACCCATAATCGAAATCATAATAAAAGATAGTAACGAAACACTTCCAACACCTGAACCAATCAAATATCAACCGTCAAAAAAGAAAAAGGAGCAAGTTCAAGTATTTTATGTGAAATATAATAAAGATGAAAATAAAGGACTTATAATCGATGATCCAATTCCAGGTAATAACATTTTTGGAATATTATTTTGTGAAATGTTGATAACAATTTTAATTTGACTTTTTGCAGCACTAACTCCTTCACATTTTAATCATGAAGAAAGTGAAGAAGAGGAAGACATAGAACAAATTCCTTATACTCCATCAACAATTTCGCCACCCGTTCGTTCTACGACTTTGCGAACAATTATAAAACCCGACTCAGAAATATACCATAGTAATAGCGGAATTCAAGTAACATTCAATACTGAAAGTAAGCACCAAGTTGGGCATGAGTTTCAAGAGCACTACGAAGAAAGTGCGCTTCAACCAATAGTAACTGATGTACATAGTTCAAGCGTTGAACATGCATCTTTGACGAGTAACGGGAATACCGATAGAGCACGTGCATTTGACATTCAATACAATAGTAATAATGGTCCAAATATGGCAGGTTCACATACAATATCTCACAACCCACAAAATTACCATAGAATTGCCGGATCAAGTTCATCGAATTTAAATTCTCTACCATTTTTAAGACCCACTCCCGATCAAGGACTTTTACTAAGTTACACACAAAACCAAGCAAATCGATTACTCCAATCGCAAAGTTTTGATAATAGAATCAAAGCTATATCATCACCCAATCAAAACGGCCAACAAAATCACCGATTCCCGGATGTGCATGTCTTAAATTTTGGACTTCCGTTGAATACTCCACCAATTAAGTTTCGGACTCAATCGACAAATCCTCAGCATAAACCAATACCAATACCCTTACATCATGGCGATAAGACTCAACAACACACATCCAGTTCTGTTCAGCTACAGCATTCAAATCATCATCAACACTATACGAATTTTAATCAGTTCCGATTGAAACAACAACCAATAACAATTCATCAAAGCTCCCAATTCCAACAATCATTTCCACAACCAATCCGCATACTCAATCAAAACGTGGCTGAACCAACTAACCATCGACTGGTACCTTCCACAATTCAGCCGTTTATTAAATCCTCTTCTCATACATCAGAACCAAATCGTAATGTTAATCTTAGTCCCTCGCCCCAGGATAACAACAAAAATTTCTTTCAGCAAAAAGGTGTACATTTTGGACAAAGTACTTCAAGTAACATTCAACCTCAACTACATTCTTCTGGAAACTCTCAAGAATTTAATCGTTTTGTATCTGGCGCTGAACTGGTCGAATCACTTCCCAAATTTGAACAACATATTACCGAAACTATTCCTTTGAGCGAAATAAACAAACCATTCAGTCCATTTAGACATTTGACCTCTGTTCAATCAACGGGAATTCGTATTGATACGGCACCATTACTATCTCAACAAACAAAAAAATCCATTTTTATTCAGGGACAACAACAAGCACAACAACAAAATCATATTCATGAAGAAAAACCGTTACATTCGCCCATCGAACATACAAAGCTGTTAAAACCAGAACAGAAACTAATATTTAATCAAGAGCAAACATACTCAAATTCAATTTCACCACAAATTGTTCTTCCTGTGAATTATCAAACTAAAAATTCTCAACGTCAAGATCAAAAAACGTTTAATTCAGTTTCATCTTCATCTAATTATCCTACACCCGTATTTCATGAAAAACTAATTCTCGGTAAAGGAGTTTCAAATTTGGCAACTGATGTTTTTGGAGAGTTAAGTCAATCACCGCAAAACTATAATGAACACTCAAGTTCACATATCGTCAGTCATCGTGTCCCAGTACACGATAGCTATACAGGATCTTTTGCCAATAGCATCACTGAGCGAAACTTCATCACAACTAACCACGCTCCTTTGGATACACGCAAATTGAAACATTCTCATTTACCATCAACAACAACAACAACAACAACAACAGTTAAACCAACACCAAAAAAAGCTCCAGCTAATTTACCTGATGAAGTACCGGATGACTTGCGTCAACAATTACTATCTTCTGGTATCCTTGAAAATGCTGATATCAGTGTTTTGGATTATGACAAAGTTGGTGATATTCCATTGGAAGCGCTCCCACCTGAACACTTGGCAAATTTCTATGGAGCAGGTGGTGCGACACAAATTTCCAGTTCAAATCGCGTTTTGAATATTGTTAAACCAAATGGAGACAGTGTTGCCGGAATACAGTATTCGGATGACGAAAAAATTGAGGGAAAAAAGGCGAAAACGTTACCAAAGAAACATAACGTTGACCTCAAGGTGGTACGATTTGACTCAAGTAATCAGAAAAGTATTGCCGACAAATACATAAAACCAGATTCAACCGTTTTGCCTTCTGTTGATATCAATCAAAATTATGACAGGTATCTTCCTTTAAAAGTGAATGGTGAACAATTTCCGATACCTGAAGTAGAAACGTTGCTCAACAAAAAAATATCGTCTGTTGTAGTGCTCGCACCAGTTAATGATGGATTAAACTCCAGTGACAATGACGAAGATGAAGATATTGTTGAAGACGGTCGCTATGAACGGGATGTAATTGATTCGAAAGAATTGAAATTTTTGGGCGGCGAATCTTTAAAAAATCTTCTGCGAAAACCAACTAAAGAAAATTTTAAACGATGGCTCGACAAAGAAGCAAAAACAAATATTGAGATGCAAAGCGTTGTTTTATTGGTTGTGAAGTAAGTTAAAACTATTTGAAAACAATATATTTGTATTATTTTAATAATTATTATGCTTAAAAAATTATATTCATTTGATACACAGGAATGAGACGAATGGACAAGAAATTTATATGTATGACATTGGTACGAAAGTTGTTAACCGATTAAAAGGTGAACTATCTACAGCCTTTGTGAACGTAGCCGAATCAAACGCAGAAGCCCAAGAAAAAGACAACAAGGTGACGCTCATTGACAGTGGTATTAAACAGACGGTCGAAAAAATGCCAACGTCGAATTCAGATAATGAACAAATTACCATCGTCGAAGCTAATTCAAGACATCAAAATCAACCTATATACCGGAGAAAAATTGAGACAAAAATCAAAACAGACAACGATTCAACCCAAAATCAATAACTTCTGTAAATAAACGATAGATGGAAGAGGAAAAATGATATTAAAGTAATGTAGGATTTACAGTGTGTCCCAGAGTAACTGTCGTATTTATATATGCTTAAAAAACGTATTGTTTTTACTATTGAACAAAAACTTTATTGAGATTTAGAATAGGGTCCAACATTTAAGATTCGGGTTTTAGTTTTGAATCTTCCTCCATTTGCACGGATCACCAAACGCAAACGTCGTAAAAAAGATTTACACGCGGCACGCACCATTTCAATAGGAATATCGTTCCATCCGGTGCTCCATCTTGCTGAAATACCCACGATTCGTCACCAAACACAGTTTCGGCATGTAGGAACAAGTTTTTGCGCAATATTTCTTCTTCATGCACAGCTGCGTTAATTTTAACGCCTTTGTTAACGAAAACAAGAAGAAATTTGTGACCGGCTGAATCGGCGCTCCAAACCATGACACTTGACACATTTTGAAATCGTTCAAGACTTAATCATCTTCAGGAATGTCCTCAATTGACGCTGCATAGACCCGATCATTTTGCGCATTGAGACCCGGCTGAAAAAGGAACAACTTTTCATCTGAAAAAACAATGTTTGAGGTTGCGTGCCGTCGTAGAAGATCTTGGCATTTTCGCTTTCTGTCTTGCTTAATTTTGACTGTCAATCCGCGTTTTCGGTTTTTTCAATAGTTTCACTCCCAAATCTTCTTTCAAAACTCTTTGCAATGAAGATCGACTGATATTGTGTTCACGAGCCAAGATTATAGCGCTTCACAGTAAGAAAATATCAGCCGACGCTATACGCAAAACCGACTGGTACGTGCGCTCATACGTTTTTACATCTTTTACATCTAGTGACCATACGATTTTTCGACTGATTCGTTACTCTTTGTGCGTATCTTCGCACAGTCGAAAAATCGTATGGTAATAGATGTAAAAGATGTAAAAACGTATGAGCGCACGTACCAGTCGGTTTTGCGTATGGCGTCGGCTGATATTTTCTTTCTGTGTTCTTTTGTTCTTCTGACGAACTTTTTGTCGTACTTTTTTGATCAGATCATTTGTACGTACAATTTTTTTTCTGCCCGGTTTTCGCTTCAAATCGACTATTTCATGTTCTTTGTATCGCTGAATAAACCTCAAATTGATACTGTCGGTCTGAAGCTTCCGAAAAATATCCACTTGTCGCAAACCTTTTTTATGTAAATTCAAAACGAGTTGACGTTTGACATCCATTGTTGTTGCAAAGTAAACAAGAACTGCGCATTAATTTGCATCATCACAGTGGATTGCCAAAACATGAATAAACTTAACGTTAAATAAAAGAGCGAGTGGAAAGCATTGTAGTTGTATCTACATAGTTACGAAAAAAACGACAGTTACTCTGGCCCATCCTGTATTAAAAAAAAACATGAATATGAACATTTTTCGTATAAAATTTGGAATACGTATATCGTACTTCTCAATTCCATAATTTTTTTGTTTGACTTTAATCACAGATAGTTGTTTATGTATATTTGAAAGAGGAAAAAGTGTAGCCATATATTTTTCTGAAAGTTACTTGCGTCCGCTTTCTAAAGTGTGTAATTGAAATGTTCTTCTCAATATCGTCATTTAGTTCTTAAAATAAATTATACTGTACATAATATTGCAAAACAATTCTTTTATTTACCAAAAATTATTAAAAACTATCTGAAATAAATTAAAAGGTACAAAATATTTCTATTGAAGCTGCTTTATTCCATTTCGTCACCAAATCAAAAACATATCCAATGAATACAATGTGGTTGTTTACGGGATTGAAAACTCTCCGCTGCTCCAATATGAATTATACTTGGCTCTCACGCTGTAATTAACTACTATTTGTTTAAATATACTGTAGGATAGTGTTGGAGCTCACGAGTTTTTATGGTTATATTGAGAGCAATAAAATGCATATATTTTTTTTGGAGAAGAGGAACAGTAGCCAAAAAACAAGTTTGTAACGTTTTTTAAAATCCATTTTAACGACCCAAATTGGAGGTGAAATTGACCAAAGTTTCACCCACTTCCATCGTCGAATTAGGATGAAATTCAGGTAATATTTAATTTTTATTGAATAATATTAGAATATTCGCTTAGATATTCGCATATGAATCAACATCAATATTGATGTAAAGATCATACCAATGGAAAGATGTAAAGATCAAACCCACAACAACCTGGTCTCAAATCGATTGATTTTTCATCCCTAACCCAGAAAAGGTCATCTCCGACCATTTTGAGATTTTTTTTTTAGGCCCCATTAGAAGACTTTTCCCTTCACACTACGTGTGGACGGAAAAGTAATGTCTAAACTATTTTAAGACAAGTGATATATTTTTAGATACGTTAATTTGTGCAGAACAAAAGTTAAAGTTATAATACGAAAGAAAGAGAGAAATTTTGCTAGCTTTTAAGCTCGAATTACCATGGGGTCAATCACTAAATTCTAGTGCAGCCAGTTTTTGATCAGATTTCACTAGAAAAACTAGAAATTCTAGTGCGTGAAGTTAGCTCTCAGTAGTTTTTCCTATAAATTATATGGCCTTTGGTGTGAAGTTGGCTTCGTTTGTGACGTCATTCTTCGCACTAGATTTACTGGTTTTTCTAGTATTCACTAGCGCGATTCTCCCCATGCGAATTACTGTTACTAAAACAAAAATTAGCGGCCAATGAGAAGGCGAATTACGAGGCAAATTAAGCGATTTTCCATTTACAACCATACATGTGTTGAGAATAAAAGTGGGAATAGCCGAAACCGCGCTCTCGAACACATGCCTTTTGTGAATGTATGACAAGAAATAGAAGGGAAGTGTCTTCAGCAATATTTTGGATCTTCAAACCCTTGGGTTTCATACCAAAGAATCACCCCGAGAAAAGTATTCATGTATGCATACTTACTTAAAAATTACTATTCCATTACTCTACAATTCCTGATCCACTTCTTCGATTCATTTTCCATTCTGTTCCATTACCTATTGTATAATTTTCATTTTTTCCATTCTTTTCTTCTGATTAACTCCAGGTCATACCGTTTTTGTTTCAAAAAGTCATATTTTGGAGACAATTGGACTAGGGGGTAGACACAAACTAGAAAACTAAAAAAAACTAAGAAAAATTAGGACTTATTACGTCCTGTCAAGCCCGTGTCTCCCCCCTAGCAATTGGACCTTAAAACTTCAATGTTTATTCTCAGTTTTCCATTCATACATCAATCGCGGCAAAAGGCTTTCTTTATTAAGGTTTGGAAATTCGATCGAATCGTGTATGGCTAGTCGACTAGAATAGAATTCAGCTGCATAAACCAATTTTTTTAACGTGCCATATTTGAATACTTTATTTGATCGAATTTTTAAAATAAAACTCTGCATAAATAATCAAGACAGTAAAATTAATTTAATCCATTTTATTAAATTTATTAATCTATTACTTCTTTGTTTAAAACCAAATGCTCTCTAAAAGTAAAGAAAATTAGACTCGATGAAATTCACATTAATATATTGTTTAAGTCAGCACCAGTTAACGACATGACATATAACGATTTTTATTTCAAGTAACACCTTGTGTTAAAATAATTTTCTTAACCACATAAACACACACACATAATAATTTTTGCAAATATTTTTACTTCCGTATTTATATTTCTTG